ATAGTAAAGCACGTGGAGGATGGTGGGGCTGGGGGGAGACCTGCGAGTCACAGCCCCATGTCCTTGTTAGGGGTCACAGTTGCCCCAAAGGCAGAGGCAGGGACAATGGAGGCCATGGTCCCATCTAGTCCAATCTAGGGCTGCAGCTAGTGATAACTGGGTTTCCTTGTCTCCTAGCAACAGAGCTACCAGTCTCCAGTGCGAGAGAAAGGGGGAGAGAGAGAAAGAGTGAGAGGGAGAGCAACCCTGCCTGAGACAGGGGCCCCCTCAGTCCCTTGCACGGCTGCCCCTGCCTTCCCTGCATCGCCCCAGGCCCTATCCTTTCTTTGCCCACCAGCCCACTAGGTAGCCAGATCCAGCGCTGTCCTGGAGGTGCCTGGGCAGGGGGCAGCCAGTGCACTGCCCTGAGCTTCAGAAGGAACAAAGCCTGGCCACACCCACTGTGACTCTCATCCTCACAAAGGTGGGAGTGGATCCCCATTTAGAGAAAAGAAAACAGGCTGGGACTGGTTCACCTACTTGCCCAAGGCTACCCAACTAAAGCAGGACAGTCTTTTGCAGCCACAGAAGCCTGGTGTGTGTTTGGGGAGGGGGCTGTGGCCACAGGGGGCTTTTCTACCATTGCAGTCAGCCAGCTGGGCCATCCAGCCCTCATGCCAGCAGTTACCCTGCACACTGGGGGCAGAAGGGGAGGGGAGGGAGCCTCATCACTCTTATTATTGGGATCTGTCTTGCTGAGAGCTGTGCTCCTCTCTCCCCACAACTCTTTGTGTTGGTGCCCCTTTTCACCTGCCCCCCAACCCCACCACCAGGGTCCTTCCTGCCCTACCCTGCTCTCTTGGGCTGCCTCCCTGCAATGCCTGCCCCTCTTCTTCATGCCCTGCCCCATATTTCCCTGTCCGTGTCCCTTTTGCCCATTTAGCACTTGCTGCCTTCCCATCTTTGGGGCTGTGTAGGGGCCTTCGGCTCTCAACCTCCTGCCTCCCAGGCTTGCTTCACACCCAGCTCTGGGCACTGCTGTTTGACAGCCAAGTAACTGGAGGCCTAGAGGAGTGCAGGGCCTTGCTTCCAAGACACACAAGGCTGTTCATGGCTCATCTGCTTTCCGTGACAACAGGCTCAACAGGCTCTCTGAGGCTTGAGAGAGCACCCATGGGAGCACAGCCAAGGCTGCATCCAGGGAGTCAGGAGGCCCAGCTCTCTGGGCTCTCCTAGTGATTTGCTATGAGGTACTGCATACTTTCCTGCCCTTCTGTGGGCCCTGGTTTCTAACATCCCAGAATTCCAAAGACCATGATTCTAAGATTCCTAGACCCATAGGATTCTGAGACACTATTTCTCCCTTGCCTGTGCCCAGCTGGGACCCAAGGCCCAGGACCCCACTTCCCGGGCAGAGTTCCATGGTCAGAGCCATGAGACGGACAGGGCCTATGGGTGGGGAAGGATGCCTGGAGGAGGCTGGCCGGGGTGGCACCTCTAGGGTCAGGCAGAATTGGGGACAGCAGGACCTGGTAGCAGGCTTGCTCACAGCTTCCTGACCTAGCAGGAACCCCGCAGCCAACCCACTGCCCATTTAATTGGTGTTGTCATAGCAACCTTCACAGCCTACCAGCTTTCTGGGGATTGTGCCAGCTCCCAGGATTGAGCCCCCTCCCCACCCTCAAACAAAGATTATAGGCAGTATTAAAGTATGGTGCGTATGGTGTTTGATATATTTGGGTTCAGGTCCTCTAACCTGTGAGGCCTCAGGCAAAATGCCCAATGTCCCTGGGCCTTGGCCTACTGCATCTTTATTAATTAATTAATTAATTAATTTTTTAAAATATATCTTTATTGATGACAGAAAGAGGAAAGGAGAGGGAGAGAGAGAGATAGAAACATCAATGATGAGAGAGTCATTGATCGGCTGCAGCCCGCAACCCGGGCATGTGCCCTGACCGGGAATCGAACCCCGATCGCCTGGATCCTAGGTGGACGCTCAACTGCTGAGCCACGCCCAGCCGGGCACTGCATCTTTAAAATGAGGATAATGCTACCTGCCTTACCGAGGACATGAGGAGCAAGTGAAAAAATGCACGCAAAGTGTTAGTGCTGGAACAATGGGCAGTGTTATTTTCATTATTATATTTTGATTTCCGGCCTCTCCCTCACATACACCAGTTTAAAATCTTAGAATAGTATAAATGAGGTGGGTTGCATCGAGAGGGAAAGGGATTTGGGAGCAGCTCCCCATTCTTGCGTTCCTCCACTATGTCCTCTCCCCTAGCTTGCTGGAGTTGCTCCCAGCTCTGTTTCCTGCTGGTTCTGGATTCTGTGTCTATCAAATATAGCCAGGAGTCACAGTAGGAAAGTCTGGGACATTTGCCTAATGAAAGTAGCACTTCAGCTCTAATTATAGCTCCCTTGATTGGGGATGGTTCTGACCCACCTTCAGGCCTCTGGAGGGGCGGGGGTGGGGAGATTGGTTCGAGGTGAATGAGTTACGATTCTGGGTGCTGCTTATTGAAAACGAGATTTTATTCATGAATCTTAAAACCTTTCCACCTGGAAGAGGACCTCACTGATTAACCAAGTGCACCTTCTTATAGATAAGAAGTGGAAGCCTAGAGATTTTCTGAGATCACCCGGCAAGTTAGGGGTTGATGCAGCTACAAGTATTTGACCCCATGTCAAGGAGCAGGTATTAACTGCCCCTTCCGCACGGTGGATGGTCCCATGCTGTGCTTCCACGCTGGGCAGCAGCTGGACACTGATAATTCCCACAGCTGAGCTCTGGGCCCCTTGGAGCTGGCAGTCCCCATTTGGAGGTTGTCTGCCCCTGAGCCTCACATGACCTAACACGGCAGACGCACTTGCTCAATAAGCAGCCGCCAAGTACTTTCATTCTTTTATTCAACAGACATTTCCCTTTTTATTAATTTGTGAGCTTATGAATTAGAGAAAGTACCCATGGGTTTGGATTTCTAGGGCAGGATTCTCTGGAAATGTATCAATGCCTACAGCCACTCCAGCGTGCAGCGCCGGGCCCTTACTGACTGTGCAGGATTCCCAACATCTGAGACAGTGGGTTCCTCACTCCTGCTTCTTGGAACCTGGGGAGACTTGGACAGCAGGCCAGAGGCTTCCCTCAGGTGTTTGTCTCAAAGAGAAAGAGAGAGAGAAAGGCAGAGACAGAGACAGAGACAGACACACGTGTTCCGGGTGGGGGCTGGAGCGAGGGCCTTGTGGACTCTGATAACATGCATCCCCAGGGGTTGAGACCAGGGCCCTTCCAGCCCTTTGCATTTTGTGAACTAAAGCAAGGGCCATTGTTTTTTGAGCTTAGAGTGTCTTCCAGGTTCTGAGTGTAGGGATTTCCCTGTTTCCCCACCTAAACCACTCACCAACTCTAGACGACTATGTAACCCCATTTTCAGATGAGGGGAGCCAGAGCGCAGAGAGGTTAGGTGACTTGCTGAAGGGACCTTCATGTTAATAAATGAGATTTGGACCCACGTCTGTCCAACTAGAGAAACCCACGCTCTATCTCCTGCCTCGTGCTGCCTGAGGCCTTGGGCTTCAGTCATCCTGAAAGTGGACAGCAGACGGCCATCTGCCATCTTGCAGATGCTGCCTGGGCCGAGGTTCCGCGAGCCTCCTTCCTCCAGTACCCCTCTCGATCCCTGGAATGCCAGGGAGACTGACATGGTGGGGACCAATGGGGCCGGCTTTTCTCTTGCAGTGGTAAAGGGTTAAGTGCAAAAAAGTCAAGCATTGCATTTGGGGTCGAGACCTGGGATGGAGTCCAGCTCTGCCCCTCACTGCAAGACTTTGAGCAGATGGCTTACCTTCCCCAGGCTTTGCTCTCCTCATTCATGAAATGTCGGTAATGATGGTACCCACCTCATAAGGAGACACTGCACTTCCCAGGGCAAGACAGTAAGAGGCCTGGCCCAGGAGCCTGGAGGTGCGAGTCCTGGCTTTGGGGAAGAGCTACATCCCAACAGAGACAGGGAGGTTCCAGGAGAGAGAGGCAGTTGGAACAGCCAGCATCCAGTATCCTCAGTAGGTCCCTTCCCCTCTCCAGGCTCCTCTCTCCTGTCACTCTAATGGCTGCTCCTCTAGGTGACCCCAAGGAGTCCTAGCATTCCAAGATGGTGCCTTGGCTCTTTGAGGGCAGGAGGGCTGCTGTCAGGCACTCTTGAATCCCCAAGAGCCTGTAATTAGAGCTGTCTATTTAGGGACACAGCAAACGTCTTATTAATTATAAAGAAAGGAAGCAGACGGATTGTTTAATCATTGTCCTTGCTGAAAGGTTATGCAATTAACTGTATAAATATTCATTTAAAGTTCAAGCAGCTGCCTGCTGCACTGGGGTCTGCAGAACCAAGCTCCCTGAGGTGGTGCGGATGGTCAAGGGACATGCCAGTCACCTGGGCTTTGGGACAGAGTCTGGAACTGGTTCTTGAGCCACTTCTCCAACCGCAAGAACATTGAGATTTCATGGGAAGGGAAGGGCTCTAATCAGAGGAACCTGGACTCTGCCTCTGACTGCTGTGCATCTTTGGGCCATTACTTGGTCTCTCTGAGCCTCAGTTGCCTCATCTGCAACATGAATGAGGGACTGCTACCTTGCTGCACTCTATGGGCAACACTGACATAATGATTTGTATGAATGGTGTCCCTGGAGTTTATGCTTATGCCTGCAGGGCCTGTTTACCTGGCAGCAGTCAAATGGGAAAACATCAAATGCTCTGCGTGGACATCCTGATACACTGAGGGTGCTCAGGGAGCATGACTTCCTTCCAACTCCCCTGTGTGTTGGAGTCAGGAGTTTCCTGAGGCCTGGCTCAGGGATATACGGTCTGCTTGCCCCTGCATCCCATTGCTCTCTCAGGGGCATGCAGACTTAAACAACAACCCTATCACTTTTCTGGGAGTAAATTTAAAAGAGATGAAATATCCTGTATCTTTTGGACTTGTAGAATGATAACCTGGGGGTTCTCAAAGGGAGTGGATGGGAATCACTGAGGTGGGGGAATTGCTAAAATACAGATTTCTGGCTCTGCTCTCAAAGTCTGGATTCAGTATAGTATGGGCTGGGGCATTTCCAACAGCCCCCACACCCTCACCCCTTAGTCAGGACTCTGGGAAATGCTGGTCAGCTGCAGCTCCCTCATGTTCTGATGGGCCCAAAGGAAAAGTGCTTACTGAGGTCCCATGGTGCTTTGTGATAGAGGTGCTCTGGAGGAGCCTCACTCCCCAACCCCAGGCCCTCCACCACCTTGCACTGCAATCCCAAGGCTGCCCCAGGCTCAACCCCACAGTTATTTCTTAAGGGAAATTTCTGTAAAATGAATCCTGTGAATCCTGTATTGCCAATGGGTTGCCTTCTATTTCAAGAAATGTATTCCTAGGATAACTTTGGGGTCCATCCTGGGGTCCAAGGAACTCCTCTCTCATGGCATAGTAATGTTTGCAGGCCTGGATTCAGACACCTGAGACCCCACTCCATCTTGTTTATGCCCTTTATGGCCTCTCATCCCTTGTGACCTCTCATCCCAGCTATGAAAGTAAAGAGAGAGCAAACAGGTCTGAGATCAGAGAGAAGAGCTGAGGGTCTGGCAACGGTAATCTTCAGGTATAACGACTGTTCCCAGTCGCTGGTATCAGACACAGCTGGCTCTGAGTTCTCCTTTCTTAACCAGCTGTGTGACTTACCACTGTGTCTGGTGCACAGCAGTGCTCAATAGATACTCACTGAGAGAATAAACCAGTCCTCATCTGTTACATGTGGATTAGGTAACATTAGTGCACACAGGGCTGGGCGTTTTAGTTCTTTCCAGACATTAACTTAGTCATCGTAACAATCCTATGCGGTAAGGAATAGTATTGTCCCCACTTATTGGCACAGAGATGAGGATTGTTGGCTAAGGTAGAGAGCCAGTGAGTGACCAAGCTAGGATTGAACCTAGGCAGCCAGGCTCCAGAGCCCATGCCCTTGATCCCCATGCTGGAGGCCACAAGATAATCCGCCCCCCTACCCCCTGAGTTATTGTGAAGACGAAGACTGCCTGGCACATCCTAGAGACCGTTGCGTTCAGGCCTCCGGTACACACTGAAAGGCAGTCAGGAGACAGCCGCCACGGTCTCAGAGGCGTCTGCCTTGGCTGGGTCTGCCACGTGGGTCATCCTGAGATGCCCAGGTTGAGAGCCATCCCCAGCCCTGATCGGGGTTCTCATTCTTTCTTCCAAATTGAGAATCAACCCTGGGGCTTTAGGCCCCTGATTGAGTCAGTCTCTGATTGCAGCTGCAGTAATTATAGCTGTGTGGTCCCGCTGGGCCCTGCCACGCAGTGGCTGCTCTTAGCAGCCGGCTGGCACCACCGCCAGGAGAGGGCCTTGGAGGGGGTAGGTTGTACTGGGGGAGCTGTTGAGGCCTTGGTGAATCCTTCAGATCTGCAAGTTCAGATCATGGAGTCACTGATCTGGAAGGCAAACTGAGGCCCAAATGGGGCATGTCTTGCCCAAGGACACACAGCTGGGGAATGGCAGAGATGCACCCAGGGCATGGCAGCTCCATGTTGCTGGAGCTTAAAGGGGAGATTTGGAGGGGTGGGAGGTGAGGCTGGTGAGACAGGCAGAGGTTGACCATATCAAGGAGGTTTGAGTGCCAGGGACGAGGGCGGCATGAAAGGGAGTTAAGCAGGGCAGCAGTGGAGTCAGATATAAGATTCAGAAAGTCTCACGGCAGACAGGGGTTTCTCAGATGAAGAAACTAGACACGGAATAGGAAGGCTTTGGTGGATTCCCAGGGCCTCAGGCCAGATGGCTGGGGCCAAGCAGTAGGACTGGTTGGCACCATGCCCTGTGTCTTCCTTGGCCAAGCCATGAACATGTGTCTGTCTCCACAGCCAAGCAGGTGTGTCCTGCAGAGAAGCTGAGCTGTGGACCCACCAGCCACAAGTGTGTGCCTGCCTCGTGGCGCTGTGACGGGGAGAAGGACTGCGAGAGTGGAGCGGACGAGGCCGGCTGTGCCACCTGTGAGTCGGGATCAGATCCCTAGGGTCTGCCCCACATAGTCAGGCAGCCCCCGGGGACTTGGTCGGTGGAGACGGAAGGGCGATGATCAGGACACTAGTGATGCCAGGCACTTCGGAGACATTTTCTTCTTTCATCCTCACAACCACCTCACAGACAGCCATTATCATTCCCATTTTATGGGTGAGGAAACTGAGGCTCAGACAAGTGAGGGAAAATACTCAAGGCTGAATGATGGAAAAGAGATTCAAATTCAGGTCTGGACAGCAAAGCCCATGAGTTTTTTTACCATGCCTGACATTTGCTCATCCATTCCATCTCTCTACTGGTCTCCAAGCAAGAGCAGGGAGAACAGATGGGGCTATAGCAAGAAATGGTGGTGGCCTGGGTCAGGGCACTGGCAGAGGAGGAGATGGGGGTGGGGTGGGGAAGAGAACAGATTCCTGAGGTGTGAAGGACTCTTGCTGAAATCTCAGATGCGAGCACAAATGTCACAGGGTGGAGAAGACATTCCCAGCGGCCTCGGCAGGGACAGATGGAAGTGGTCACTGGGACGGTTCCACATCACTGAGCTTCAAACACAGGATTATCTCCATCCCCGGGAGCAGGCCAGCAGGTCCTGGGCCAGTGGGGAGTGTGGCTGGGCCACGCTGGTTTCAGTTTGATGGGCACCTACTGTGTGCAAGGCCTGAGCCAGGCTCTGGAAGGGACGAGAGGCGAGCCCTACACAGTCCTCTCTCTGGGAACTCGTGACTAAAAGGGGAGAGAGACTAGCTGACAATAACTAGGCTGTGAGGTTGGGCGGTCACTTGAAGCTTTTGCCAGGCACTTACCCACCACTGTCTTCCACCCCACTCCCTCTTCCAACCTCTGTATTTGCATCTTACCCATCCTTCCAGGCCCAGGGGAAATGCCATCTCCTCAGGGGGTTTCTGAGTCACAGCTCTGTGAGATTCTAAGTCTGCAGTTTGATGTGTCTGAAGCAGGAGGCATCTGGGGGTGGGAAAAGATACTGACTGGGGCCAGCAGTTTCAAAGCCCCAATGATGACACTGGCTCTTTTCTTCAGCTGGATAATTTTGTGGGGCCTCACTGCCCATGAGAATCCTCTCTCGCCATAGTCAGGTGTTTCCTCGGTCATAAAGGCCATTGGCCACTATTGCAGGGGTGGGAACAGCTCTAACTAAGGGCATGTTGTAGCAGGAAAGTTCCCTGTTAATTATACATAGGAGTGTTGGAAGGTTTTAGTGGGCTTCTCTGCTACAGCTCCCAACCAACCACCTGGGCAAAGGAAAAAGAATGCTCCCCTCTTCCATCCCTCAGAGTTTCTTCCACTTGTGAATGCTGTGAGTGGGGTCTCTGGGCATAGGCCTGAGATTATAGATCTTAAAGTTGCTGTCAGCTTCAAAACCTTGGAGAGAATTTAGTATAAAGTACTTTCTCCCAGAACTCTGAACACAGTGAGTCCTCCCTTGGACATGTACAAGTTGAGTCTGGACAGGAAGAAGGGGAGCTAATCAGCATAATCTTGAGGGGCAGACATCACAGGATGGTGTGTGCTTTTCCCACCAATGCCCCAACATCCCCAAAGCCCAGAAGGGGGAAAAATGCATCTGTCAGAAATTTGGCAGAACTGTCAGCAACATGTGACATGAGCTGTCTATATTGTGAAACTGAAGGTATCATTCTATTTTATGTTCAATAACAATCAAAAAATGACATTTTTCCATTTGAAATTAAAAACACAGACTCTTGGTGCCCCCAGGTGGAGAGATCTGGTGCTACCACCTCTGTGTAGGAATAAAGGAAGGAGGCAAGGAGGTCACTGCTCTAGGAACAGCTTACACTCCAGGAGAAAACCCGAAAGCTGGGAGGAATTAGAGTAGGAAGAGCCCCAAACCTGAGTTCTGTTTCCCTTGTCACCCTGGACTGTGTGACCCTGAGAAAATTGCTCCCTTCCCTGGGCCTCAGTTTCACCATCGGTAAACTGGAAGTTGGGCTGGTGATCTCGAAGGCCCTCCCAGCCTCTGAGCAACCCACCAGAGAGGGGAAGCCCAGGACCCCAGGCAGGGCCAGTGACCTTTGCCCTTAACTACCACACATCCCTAAATTAGTCCTCACACCTGAGCTGGTCCAGCACCCATTCACCACACACCCACCCACTGCAGGGAGCTCTGTGCCAGGCCCTCAGGACAATGCTGGGTTAATCTCAGAGCCAGTCCCATGCCACCTGTGGTCACGGGGAGACGGAGAAGGATATGAGACCCAGACACCTGAGCACGATGTGAGAGGTGCCGGACAGAAGAGTAGGAAGGCGGCTTCCTAATCGGGAGCAGGAAGTATGAGGTGGAACTTGGGCCCTCAACTGATGAGAACTCATCACTGTAAAGTGCAGAGACAGTGGTGGGCAAGAGGGATGTACCCAGCGGATGGAACAGCTTGCGCCAAGGCCCAGAGGTGGAATGTGTGCAAACGGTCTAGAATGACTGAAACCGGGGTGTGTGCGGGAGTGAAGTGGGTAAGGGCTCCATGCCAGTGGCCTTGGGTGCCGGGCCAGGGGACTTAGATGGTACAGTGCAGGCAAATGGGAGGGTGGGGAGGAACCTGAGCTGTGCTATAAGGAAACAGTCCCAGGCCTTGTTCCGAGGAAGCGTCAGTGTCACGGTCCCTACCACCTCCCAGGGACATCACAAAGTCCTTTACGACAGGTGGCCTCTGCAGCTTTAGAGACTCTCCTAGTGCCACCACCCTGCCGGCAGCAGGACAGGAGTCCCCCTCCCAGGGAGGCTGGGGCGGCCCAGGGAGGGCAAGTGCGTTGCCCAGGGCCGGCCCGCC